GGTGGACGTGCATCTCTTCAGAGGTTTCTGAGATCATCACCATCCTCCATGAAAATAACAAGAATTTCATACTAATAATTATTAAAAATGGATGTAAAGAACATAGTCAGACCACAAGCATAATCACTTCTTTTATTTTGTGGACCTGTGTTATCTGCTACACAGTTTTAGACTTAGAACTCATTTGGGCACGGTACTTGTGTCGGCTGACGATAAAGTACATTTGTAGTCAAAAACGACCAAAACATAAATCTCGCAGAAACAAACAGAAAGTATTTCATATTAAATCGTATTCATATTTTAGTGATGAATATGTTTCAGTTAACATTTTTTCTTCTGAGAACCAATGAATCAGTGTACAGCAATCCATTTCTGCGAGTTTCATTTGGTAATTTTTTTCTATTATCAAAATCTTGATAGACTTGTCTACGTATCTACGGACAATCAGAAACATTTTTTTTCTGAGAGTTCCCTTTGTCACACACGCAAGGAAGCCTGTGGCGCGCTAACACACTGCCCATGGTGGAGTTGAGCCTAACATAGTAAGAACCAATTAAGCTTTTAATCTCTACTATCAGTTAAGGAATTAAAAGAAGACATAAAAATCTTTATTGAAAGCTTTAGACTTCAATGTCCTACATCTCATTAACGGAGCGGTCAGATCTTTAGATTGTATTTCCTGGATATAAGCCAAACTAACCTCCACCTAGAGGTGACTTAAATAAATATAAAACAATACTTACAATAAATTTCGACAAAACAACGTTTACTGAAGAAAATCTCTTCAGTCGTTGCTCTGTTTTTTAATTATGTAGTGAATAGCAAAGAATTGAAAGTTACAATAAAAAGCATGGTCTTTCAAGGAAGATCTTAGAAGCCGTATTCGAAAAGGACACACATCTCATTCTGGTCTTAAAACTGTATTTTTCTAATATCCCGACGAGCCATGCAAAATGGACCTTAGTTGGATGAATTCTTCAATCCGAAATCCATCCATTTCTAAGTGTACCGCGGCTTGAAAGTGACCAGAAACAAAACGCGAGACGCATACCACAAGGCTCCTGATTTGATATCAATAATCATTTTGACAGGTAGACGGGCCGGTAGACAGAGAGACCACCGGAAACGAGTGACATCGTACTTCATCATGTACATGTACATATAACATCCAAAAACAAAACTCCTCTTTATTTTTACTTTCTCGTCAGTGGCATGGGAAGTAAAGTCAGTAATAGCTGGGTCTAAGAGGGTGTAATCTGAATTATCAGCTTTCGATCATCTTGTGGAGCATTTGGGAACATAGTCTCCAGGATCTTGTGAAGTCGCAAAACTAACTCTAATAAACCATCAGAGACAGTGAAAACATTCAAAGCCAACATTTGTCGCATTATCGTAAATACGTCTGCCAGTGCTCCAGAAGTTGTTTATAGACTGGCCTTATAGATTACGCCATAAGCTCTCCTCGCTCTATTCATGAGTAAAGGGTGAAAATCATAATTTTTCATTCGCTATTCGCATTAGTAATTAATTTTGAATGTGCGCGCTCATGCATTTGGAAAGGCTGAAAGATCACTAGCGCTTTCCTCCGCAGGTGTTAATCTAGTCTATAGGTTGCGTTAGGGCACCCGTGGGATTCAAATACTCCAATTCATCATAACTCCGGATGGGGGAGAAATTAAGTTGCTTATATTTCGTATGTAACTTTATGTTCACATTAGAACTAAGTGTTACGCCAATGAACTACATGTTGAATTGATATGGCTCAGAATTAGGGGAAATAGAAGTAAGAGGATTGTGTCTAATTTTAAGTGATAAAGGTTTCTGACTATGAAGTTGCTTGAACTCAGATCTCAAATGTTTTGCCTCAATTTTCAAACCTTGTTGAACATACTGCGGCGAACTATAAGATTCTCAGAAGTCTTTGGTGCATGACAACAATAATAGATACTGCAGGTCCAAAAATGAGGCAGGATAAGTTTTAAGAACTTGTAGTAGGCACTCCGCTGCCAGCCTAGCTAGTCGGAAAATCGATTTGGAATCGCTGATGCGTAGTACGAATTTTGCGATTAATAGCAGTGGTTGCTGTCTAACGAGTTGCATTTTTACGTGTTGCGCACTTTTATTTTTGTTGCATTAATATAATAGTGATGTTGAAAACTTGAAATCAGAGTGTCAGCTTTCAGTTGCAACTATCTTGATTCATTGTTTGATTCACTGCTGGGATTGCCCACTCATCGCACAACTCATTTTTGCCAACTTATTTGAATGCAAAATAATTAGAGAGATTCTACCACTGAGTACGTCATTCCTGAATAAAGCATCCACACCCCGTGGTATGTTTTATTCATCTACGGCACAGCACACATGCAGTGTTTCCAACCATTCCACGGTGTATTCCTACTATCAGCAGCCGAACACTATATTAGCTTTAATCGACATTTCGATGGCCATTATAGGCTACTAATTAGCGGTGGCAGGTGCAGGGTATTGCTCGGCGGCGACCGTCCAGAGGGTTGTAAAATTCAAACGCACCTCTCCCCTTGCTCTCTAACTCCACCCACCCCAATTACATTACTGCGTTTGCCATATTCTAAACGCAATCCTATTACATATTCTCTGCTGTCGTTGCAGCGCTCCGGATTACCCGGATGATCGAATATGCATCTGCAATTATTGGTAATGCTTCTGAGTGGAGTAGAGACATAACCGAGAGGAATATGAGTATAGCGGTAAGTCGCTAATAATAATGTTATCGGGATCAGCAAGTATATTCTGGAAAGGATCTATTCAATTATAAAAGGAAATCTAAAACAATTCTTAGTCGATCTCAAATATTATTTAAAAGATGATATTATTTAAATATGGACTTCTGCGTCTTAAATGTTTCAACATAAACATCTTAGAAGAAATAATCTTCTTGTTCATTCATGTCTTAACATATTGTCTACAGGGTGACTTTGAAGTTGAGTCATTAATTTTCAGATAATGATTGTAGAAGGAAGATAAACCAAAATATGTGTGTAAAAATAAAAAAAAATTAAAAAAAAAATGTTACCTTGTTTTATAAAGTATCCTCCCGACAAGTATTTCAGTGCGGAGCTGTGCGCCCAAAAGCATGTCACAAAAAATGTTCGAAATGATTTCCGTTTTGCTCGACGCACAGCTGGGCGCGTCTTAGCCATGTCTCTTTACAAGCACGCAATAAAATCACTGGTTGATTTCTGATCACTGTACTCATTTCCTCAATTCGAGCACGTAATTCTTCGCGTGTATTAACCGGTGTTTTATACACTAGAGTTTTTAGCCAACCCCACAAACAAAAGTCTAAAGGATTTAAGTCCGGAGACCTTGGCGGCCAAGGTACAAAACCGCCACGGCCGATCCAACGATTATTAAATTGTCTATTTAAAAATTCACGCACATTTCTTGCATAATGGGGTGGTGCCCCATCTTGTAAAAACCACATGTTTTGTCTAATATTTAAAGGCACATCTTCCAGTAAACCAGGCAAATTGTGTTGCAAGAAATCAAAATAATTTTCACCAGTTAAGCGATTTGGTAATTCAAAAGGCCCCACTAAAATTCCATTAACAATTCCCGCCCACAGGTTGATTGGTTCAAATCGCTGTTGAAAATTGGTTTCCCTTATTTCATGGGGATTTTCAATAGCCCAAACGTGAGAATTACGTGAATTAATAATTCCGTTTCTAGTAAAGAGGGCTTCATCACTCACTAAAATTTGATTTAAAAAATTGTCATCATTTTGATGTTTATTTAAAAGCCAATTGCAAAAGTCATCCCTTTGTTCATGATCTTCCGGTTGTAAGGCCTGCACTTTTTGTATGTGAAACGGATAGAACTGATTTTCACGTAGAGTTTTCCAAGTTTTATACTGACTAATCGCCAATTGAGTTGAAATTTGTCGGGTGCTTACTGTTGGATCATCACTTACTAATTCTAAAATTTGTTCTTCTAGTTCTATTTGATCGTGTGGTCTTGGAGCACCGGCATGATCTCCTCTGTGAGGTCTTAAGTCACCTGATTCACGAGCTCTTTGCACTACATTAACAAAGGCACGAGGGGTTGGTTGCACTCGATTGGGAAACCGATCCGCATAGATCCGTGATGCCGCGGCAGCATTTTGTAAAGACTCCCCGTAAATAAGAACCATGTCCACAAGTTCAGCATTTTCGTAAACATGTGCCATTTTTGATTTGAGCCTCGCAACAGACACGATTATTCACTTACGCGTTACCGACTACCGACTGATACTGACTGTATACAACTGAAGAAAATAATTGTAAAAAGATCGTTCCAAATTCTTTCGCTTTTTTGTTTCCGATGCGATGAACGGATAAGGCGGATTATATCTGTTGTTGCCAAACACGAGAACATAATATCATTATTGAGACAGGGCGGTACTCAAACTTCCAAAGGGCTATAACTTTGTTACTTTAATTTTACCAGAAAAATGGTAAAGGAAAAAAACATTTCTTTTGATCAGATCTACTCACTGTTAAAATAAATGACTCAACTTCGAAGTCACCCTGTATACTAAACTTCACCTCAATTCTGGATACTCTGACTAGGGTGCATGGCGCCTCGCGTACTTGTATCGACCACATTTTTTGAGACGTAAACAAGAAAATCATAATTGAACAGCTTTCGTAATAAAATCAGATATTACTGATCACTATAGTACAGTAACAATTTCACCACTCAAACTTGATGATTTTGTACATTAATTAGCCCTAATAAAGCAAAGTATAAAGGATACATAGACTATGGGAAATTAATAATAGACCTAAAACCTGAAACCTAGAACAACTTATGTAACATAATAATAATAATAATAATAATAATAATAATAATAATAATAATAATAATAATAATAAAAATAATAGTAGTAATAACAATAATAATAATAATAATAATAATATTAATAATAAGTAAGAGGTATACCTGATCTGGTTATTAACCACAACAGGCAAGTAACAAACCTCAGAAAGTACTTCCTCCCAGGGATGCCTCCAGTTAGATCCACAAAGCTATCATGAGGGCGGACAATAAGGCTACTCCTTTGAGACTGTCAGATCTCAACTTCAGCCTCAGCGTGGACCAGCTCATGCCCGAACAGCAACTGCAACAATGGAAGAGTAAGGCACTTCATGGTAAATACCGCACCCTACCCGAGAACGATAACATCGATACCTTCGCGTCCACGGCCTACCTCCGCTCTGGAAACCTGTTTGCTCAAACAAAAGGGTTCATATCTGCTATCCAAGATCAGGTCACCGCAACTAAAGTCTATAAAAGAAACATAATGCCGGAACGACAAGACAATATCATATGTCGAATGTGCGGTGGAAAAGATGAACACCTGGATCGTATCATCGCTGGTTGCTCAATGTTGGCACCGAAATCCTTCCTAGACAGGCACAATAGAGTCGGAAAAATAATCCAACAAAGCCTTCGAGAAAAGTACTTGCGATTTACAGAAATTCTACGACGCCTGCTGTGTGCGAAGATGAACAAACCCGTCTCTACTGGAACCGAAAAATTATAACTAATAGACCGATAAGTAATAACGTACCGGATATCGTGCTCACTCTAAAAAATGAAAACAAAACATACATAGTATACATAGTGGATTTCGCTGTGTCTTTGGGAGCCAACATAGAAAAGACACATGGAGAAAAAATTAATAAATACTTATCTCTGAGTGATGAAATCCGCCAAATGTGGGACATGGAGACTGTGGTCATCATCCCCATTGTGATCGGAGCAACTGGAGAAATACCTAAGAAATTAAGAACATCACTGCAACAGCTAGGATTACCGTTTGAATTATACTTAGCCATGCAAAAGTCGGGCGTGTTGGACACATGCAGAGTAGTCCGTAGAGTTTTAGGCGGCAACTAGAACAAGATGTTTCTAACATCAGCATCGAACGGGCCATCTTGTTTCAAAACCGATATGCCAGGGTTCTAAATCCAGGGAAGCCTGTGAATGAGTTAGATAAATAAATAATAGTAATAATAATAATAATACGTTACCAACAGGTGTAACCCAATTACAGGAAGTTCTCAAAAAGTAAACGTTTGACAAAAACAGAAATATGTTGTGCGTTGAACATGTTTGGCTACTTAGCACGATTAGCACGATATTTTTCTGTGTAGTATTGTAATATTAATTTGACATTATCATAGAACAAGTCATATTTATCACATATAGTGTTATAAATTTTACACATTCTATTAATGGGTGATTATTGCGACATATTCGTGCGACCTAAACTACAATAGAATGTGATGTGCTGGCGACTTCCAGACCTAGGTGTATTAAAATTAATTAGCTCGGCAATGCAGGACAACCTATTTTGCATTTACTATCTTATGCAAAAAAAAAGTCAGAGCAGAAAGATTACGTCTTACTATCTAATAATACACTATTTTCGATACCTTTTTGAGGATAAAATCAGAATGTATTTAAAAAAAAGTATTTCAGAGCTCTGCGCTTTACCGATTCAACTAGTCTTATCGAGTTTTCATAAATTGGCGCCCAGATTAGTGCTGCGTATTCGAGTTTGCTTCTAATAAATGTGAAACACATCATGTGCATGCTATCAACGTTAGCAAATCCTGAACAATAATTCCTAACCAGGTATCCCAGACTCCTCGAAGCTGATGCTTGTATACTAGAAATATGATCCTTGAAGCACAGTTTACCACGCCAAGGCCTTTGAAGCTTTCAACTTTTTCAAGTCTCTGGCCATTTATGTGATAACTATAGGAGCAGGTAGCACTTATTTTTCTGGTAAATGTTAAAATTTTACATCTAGAGACATTCAGTCAGGCCATTCCTACTGCACGAAGAATAAACTGCGTTAAACCTGATTAAGATAAATAATAATAATAATGACTGGTCTAGGGCGAAGTTTAGCCGTCGGATATTGTTCCTCTTAATCCTTTTAAAAACAGAAAGAAATACAAATTTCATATACAATGTGTCTGGCGGTATAACAAATGCAATTAAGGGTAAGAAATAGCAAGCATACAATTAACACTTTTAGAAAGACAAAAAAGTTTTTTACACAAACTGGAAGAATCAGTAATGTTCATAATAAAAAGATTCTAACGGTAGAAAAGATAAAAAAATAAATAAATGAGGCACTAATAATATTAAATTCAGACGAAAAACAATGAAAAAGCGCCACAAAAGAGTATTAGCTTATGCCAGCATTTCCATGGCTCAATATATACACCTTAACTTCTGGTTTAAATTTATTTACTGACAAAGACTTATACGAGTAGCTATCTGGCAGAGAGTTATACAACCTGACGGCCCTGTACCTTAAACCATTTCGAAGTCCTGTGGTAAGGCATTGTTAAGGTGTTATTAAATCGTATATTTCGGGAATGCATATATCTGCGCGCAGTCAAATTCTCTCTCAAAATAGGGGTACAGATGTATCTAAAAATTTGTTAGTATATATGAGCATATGATTGTCTTATATTCAGCCATCCTAATTCTGCAAAAGCAGCACTGATATGGTCGAACTTTCTGAGATTCTGAGTCAATCTACTGCAGGTGTTGGAGTCTTTTTACGGATTCACAGTCCAAGGATGGAAAATATACTAAAAGGCAGTATGTGATCTTGGATATCACCAAATCTCGCACAAAATTCTCTTGACTTCAAAATCAAGCAACTGTTTATTTGCATACAACAATTTGAGAATTGCATAGCAACCTTTGCTTACATTATTTATATGGTGAATAAGTTTCAGGTTCTCATCAAAAAGTACGCCAACATATTTTGCTGATTCCCCAATTGGTATGTCCTGCCTATTTTAAGATGTTATCAACTTTTCTTTCACTTCAAGCGTCATTTTTGGTTGGCAAAAACCATCAGAACTGATTTAGCAGGATTTAGCTGTAAATTATGTTGCCTTGCATAATTATCTACGGATTTTAAATCTTTAGTGAGCTCCTGTTGAGTTTGGTGAACATAATCGCAATCAAAGTAGCGATGAAGCTGCGTATCATCAGCAAAACATTCTACATTGCAATACTTCACCGATCTATTTAGATCAGAAGTGTACATGAGAAACAGGAGTGGCCCAAGTATAGACCCCTGAGGTATACCAGAATTCATAGAGCTTTCACAGCTTACTGAACGTTCACCTGTTGACATTGATTGAACAGCGTCCTTTTGAGTGCGTTTTAATAAATAATTGGAAATCATTTTGAGTTCAGTTTTACAGAACCCATAAAACCTACATTTAGTTTAGTTTATCGTATCAAAAGTTTCGGAAAAGTCTAGTTGCACTAATGCAGTAGCTAACCGCTTGTCCCAAGCTCTAACAATGTTGTCCGTTAAATCCATTAGCGCGCTTGTAGTATTCTGGCCGCTTCTACAACCTGATTGTTTCAGAGCTAAAATGTTATTTTCAGTTAAATGTGCGACTAGCTGTCTATAAATTATTTTTTCTAAAATCTTTGAAAGTACGGGTAGAATGCTGATTGGCCGTAGATCATTAAATAATTTTTAGGGAAAGGAAGAACAATAGACTGTTTCCAGGCTTTAGGAAAATAACCTTCTAAGCAGCAGTTGACAATATGTGTAATGTAAATTTTCGAAAAACACTTTGATCATTTACAAGTTTAGTCCGTCATTCCCCTGAGCATTAGACTTGATAGGTTTGAAAGTTTGTATTATGTATTTGTGATCAACAAGTTTAAAACTAAATTTTTGTCTTGTATGGTAACTGTTATTTGTATAGTAACTCATTTTTTCTGCACACAATTCATCGTCGTTTGAAAAAACGGAACAAATGAAATTGTTTATAGCATCTGGGCCTTTCAATCGATCAGGTATATCAGACATTTTTGACTACCTAATATGTAGAGCCTTGCAGGCTTTGTGAAACTCTGAGTGGTTGTTTTGCTTGTTCAAAAAATGCAAAAAAGCAGATTTTTCCCTTCTCGTTGCATCAACAGCTAGATTCCTCAACTCTTTATAATGTCACCATGACTGCTCGATTTTTACTCCGTTTAAATTGTACAAAGGCTTAGTCTCGACATCTCATAATGACTTTCAAGCTGTCAGTGGGCCAAGGAGCTGGAAGTTCATTAACACGGACAGTTTTGATCGGCGCATATATGTCAAATAAACATTTTATGCTTTCATTTAAGTATGACAACTTTTCGCCTATGTTTTATCAAACACAGAAGGCTAGATGGCAATCAGTCCGCTGTTCAAAACCCTTTCTGGTTGATTTACGAATACTGAATCGAGCTAGGTACTGCTGGTCCCTGTGACTGTTGTAGGCTCGGAAATAATTTATTGGAACCCAAACGAATCAAAGCATTCATGGAACTTATTATCAGGATTCATTAAACTGACGATAATATCGCCTGTAACCATGACAGAGTCATAGGATGCAACGAGAAAGGACAAAGCATTTTGAAGATCATTGATAGAAAGGAAATTGGTATTTGGAGGCCGGTATAGGTACTACCCCAAATGCCACAGTTGAACCACTCAGCCTCAACTTGATAAATACACATTCCAGACAAGAGTCAGTAAGATAATCTTCTCTGTTTATTTCCTCAGAAACTGCATTTTTAGATAAATCTCTACGCCTATCTTGCGATGTTAATCAAATCAGAAGAGATGGTATCGTTGAGCCATGTTTCTGTTATTGCCAAAACGTCATACTGTGAGTCTACAATCAGTTCAGAAAGGTCTGAAATAGAAGGCACAAGGGAGCGTATATTTAGGTGTCCAAGAGAAAACCGGGTAACTGTTGGACTAATTAATCAATGAAAAAACGAGCAATACAAATTATACAAGACAAATCCAACCGAAGGAACAAAACAAAATTATTTGTACTATAAAACAAGACCAACATTTCGGAACAAAAATATTAAACCAAATATGCAATTCATCCAAACCTGAAACAAAGTTGAAGAAGTAAACGTTCATAATACAACTCTTAACACAAGTAAAGATATTGCTGACCCATTCAATAATTACTTTATAAAAGTAGGCAAAAAATAGCAATGAAAATAAACAAACCCGCCAGAAATATTCCGCCCAGAAAGTGTATACGTACAACAATCAAT